AGTCAAGGAGAGAGAGAGAGAGAGAGAGAGAGAGAGAGAGAGAGAGAGAGAGAGAGAGAGAGAGAAGGGGGGGCAGTCTGCCTTCCAGGAAATGTTGCAAAATGAACGCCCGGCATTATGGCTCCCATGTCAACGCTACTCCCGACAAGTCCCCCACACGAAGAGCAACTGCCAAGCAGATTGAATGCTGCTGATTGTTTCATCATTCATACAATGCAAAACCCCTGCTTCTTAACATCAGTGGCACTCCTATTGTTGTTGGGCGCGCCTTCCAACAACTTCCCCGGGCCAATCATCAATGACATCATCCAACCCCACCAACTCAACAACAAGCGCACGTCATTGATGATTGGCCCAGGGAAGAGGGATACATGCAAGATCGATTGATCGCAAACCTGAGAGACCTCACCCACACGCACATGCACTTGGGCACATAGAGTCAAGACTCGGCAAGTAAGCACGAGGCATACATGCAAGATCGCATTATCACAAACATATTCAGAGAACATAGCAAACAAAAGTCTGAATCGGAATCTTTAGCAAAAATGTCAACGGGACTACGAACAGGATTTTGTCATAAAAGTTCACAGTTCTTGCACAGCACCAAAGAAAAACGATGCTGCAAAGGCAGCGGCTTCCCAAACAAAACACTCACAGATTAAGAAACAAAAAAAGTTTGGTGGTATTCCCTCCTATTTCTTGCACACGGATTTCTGTATGCTCTCAGGCTCTTCTTTTTGTTTCTGTGAAAGAAGCGGCATATCATAGGGCAGTTCCTTATGCTTTTTCTTTCTTTTGTGCTTTTCAGTTTTCTGTTTTTACGGGCGAAGCCGCAACGGGTCATCTATATATATTTTTTTTGTTTAGGAAGAAGACGATTCCAACAAAAAAGGGATATCTGGGAAAATGTAGCACAGCCAATACTTACACGGCCGCTCCCTCAACGCTTGGGTATTGACCGAGTACCTCGACCCAAGAGAGACTGTTTTCACAAAGCCGTTTCACCACTCCCACAACATCATTCACACTGACCCTAACCTGGTTGCAGGAGTCCCTTTCCCTCAAGGTCACCGTACTGTCCTGGAGACTCTGAAAATCCACTGTAATCGCAAAGGGCACCCCAAGCTCGTCCGTTGTTGCATCTCTCTTCCCGATGGTGTTCCCTGTCACATCAACCTTGTTTGATAGAGAAGTAGCCGTTAAACCAGCAGCGATGTTCATGGCCACCGTCTCCAGTTTCTTGTCCTGAACCAGGGGGAAGACCGTGCACTTGATCGGAGCCACAAGGGGCAAAAACTTGAAGAATGTGCGCTGTTCATCGTCCTTGCGCACTCCGAACGAGTGCTCGTACATACAATAGATGATTCGGCCAATGCCGAAAGAAGGTTCGATCACAACTGGGACAATGTTCCTTCCCTTCTGAATTTTCTTTTCCTTGGCGATCCTCACCATAGAGCTCACCAGCTCGAACTGCTGGTTATTGGTGCAAAGCATTATCAATGCCTTCCCTGCTGCATCCAACTTCAACTTCAAATCCATTGCTTCCTCCTCCTTCAACGACTCGAGGTAACTCTCCACGAGTTTCCCCTCCTTTTTGAACGTCTTGCCAATCTCCTTCTTGTTGGGAACCACGGACAGAACCTCTACTTCCCTTGGAGTATCAAACGGCTCATAGACACCCAGATCTTTCTTGCTCGCATCCGCATGAGAAGTCAAGTCATAAGCAGACCGATCCGCAATCCCTACACACTCCACCCAACCATAGGTGCACTCAATCTCCGCATCCCAGCAGTCAGTTGCATAATGCGCCATTTCATGCTGCAAGTGTTGTCGGAACCGAAGCTTCGCTTTATCAATACCAAGCTCCGTCAGGAAGAGATACATCCTCCCGATGAAGTACCCAAGTGTCTCATTGTTGATAGTACCCGTTTTCACAGCATCACCAAGTGATATGATCACCGTTTCCTTCGGGCCCAGCTGCTCTGCGCGAGGATACAACTGGAACTTGAGATCAGCAACATTCGCGAACTTTGGATGTGACTTATTGTCAGGATGCACAAAATGCTCAATTTCAGCCAGTGTAAACTCGCGTACACGGAGAAGACCAGCTCGCGGGGAAATCTCGTTGCGGAAGGCTTGTCCAACCTGCGCAGCAGCGAAGGGAAGCTTGTTGCCATTGTAATAAAGCAGATGATTGAAGTTGACGAAAATACCCTGTGCAGTTTCCGGGCGTAAGAACGCCTTTTGATCTCCCGGTGGGCCGATGTCTGTAGCGAACATAAGGTTGAATGCGTACGGATCGGACAGGTCATTTCCCGTCTCCGGAGCTTTGATGCCAAACGCCTTGATTTGTGAACCCAACTCCTTTTCTGTCAGTTCATCAACACGTACAAGAATGGTCTTTAACTCGTCCTTCCTCTTTAAGTCCATCAACAGGTCCTTCTCAATCAGCTTCTCGATGTGGTCCTTCAACAGATGATCGGCACGATAACACGTGTGCTTCACCACGTCCTTCACCATCAAATCGGTAAACTTCCTGAAGCCTGTAGCACTACCCTCGGTGTGACGCTCAGGCAATCTACCTCCAGCATATTCTCCTCCAGGACGAAGTGCTGCCGCCAGAAGCGAAGCACGTTCGTCTTGACGACGCACCCAGGGGGACCGTAGTCGTAAAGACTGGCAACGCCGCCATAAATTTCAAACGCCAGAATGTAGAACAAACGGCGCCTCAAAGCATTATTCACAGCCTCGTTAAACGCCTCACGATTCGCCGAGTCACCTTTAGCCCCACCGGACTTCGACGTGTACTGCTTCATAGAGTCTTCCAGTCGAATCTTGCATCTCTTCAACTGCTCAATCGCCTCGTCTATGGCAGCTTTACCGGCCACAGATGCTCCTTCCGTGGCCAATCGAGCTTTCAGTTGTTCCCTCACAGTGTCTCCTGCCCTCGCCACATCCCCTTGATCGGCCTCAACAGCAGCCCGCAGCGCTGTCAGATCTTCCGCCATTCCCATTCTCTTTCTCTCTCTCTCTCTCTCTCTCTCTCTCTCTCTCTCTCTCTCTCCCCAAGCCTACTGCAGACTCGCCACCACTACTGCCTAATGACTACAACTACGATGTACAGCCTTTGCGGGGTGAATAGTCACCCGGGATGAGTTTCGACCTCAACCACGCCCACATTCAACTCGAAAGACAACTCACCTCGCCTATGTATCGACCAGAGAGGCGGGCCGAGTGTTGTACAGCACCCAGCTCAGCCCATCGATAGACAACTGACCTCGCCTATGTATAGACCAGAGAGGCGGGGTGAGTGTTGTACAGCACCGAAATCAGCCCCAATAAGTATATATATCTAGAACTAACAACCCATCTGTTTATCGACTGTGGCACACCAGCTATCTGCAAAGACCATCTCATGTCAGTTCGAGAGTTATCTCCCAGACTTCGTGCAAAGGGACCCTCTCATATGCTGTGTATCTTTTTAACAGAGAACGGGGGAATTAAACTCCCGTTGAATCCCGTTAAATACAAAAAAATCCCGTTGAATTCGCGCTAAACGCGAAAATGGGCCGTTCCCGCGCTTTTCGGAAAAACGGAATTGATGCGCGGGGTAGGAGCACGTGGCCCTACGCAAAAAAAAAAAAAACAACAACCCCTGTAGCATCTCCCATCCGCCCCCACATCCCCCAACCCCCAACGCCCCAGTTATGTGTGTGTAGGTGTGCTGTGTGYGTGCGTATGTGTGTATGTGTGTGCCTGCGCGTGAGAGTGTGTCTGTGCATGAATATGAATGTATGCGCGTGGGTTTGTGTAGGTGTATGTTTGTAAGTGTGTGTGTGCGTGTGTGTGTGCGTGTGTGTGCACGATTGCTGGCGTGTGTCCATTGTTTCCCTTTTGGGGGATATAGTTTTTTCCTGTTGAAAACTAAGCGCGGGCGATATGGGTTTGGGCGTGCGATTTGGGTCTGTGTTTTTTTTTTTTTTCCTCTTCTACTGCATCTTCCCAGAAATACAGTATCCAAGCATTCTGCTGTTTGTTACGAGTAACGAAATCTAGAACGGACTGCCATTCCTCGTTGGCAGGGCTTGCTAAGAAAAGAAAAGAAAAGAGAAAACGTACTACCTTTGCCATGAATCTGGTAGAACATAGGTAGATACACTGCCAGTAGTTTAGAGCTTGAAATGTATTTTTTCCTGGCCTCGTGTGGGGCGGCACAGCCCTCAGTAGCTTGCTATTCGTTTTTCAGGTTTTTTCTTTTTTTCTTCTTTTCCCTCTTGCAATCCAAGAATCTGGGCTCCGTCCAGCGGCCTAGCTCAGTTGATTAGGCACGCAAGTGGCCTTCAGGAGGTTGTGGGCTCAATCCCCACCTATGGCACTCTCGATGCCAACCAACTGAGATAGACAGCTGGATCCTCCCAGTCTGTATCAGTAAGGTCTTCGGCCAACACCGCTGGGAGACACCTCCTGTCCCTACTATCCTACCTCAGTGTGACCAGCACTGAGGACCATCACCCTACCAGTATTGAGGGCAACTTGGACCACATAGCAGTGACAAGCACCAGGGTTGGGCCAACCTCCCAGCCCTAATAGAAGCGGAGGCGGACGAACCATGCCGTACAGGAACTTCGGACGCCAGACTCATGCAATGTTGCATACTTCGATGAGTATGGGCAGAACCAAAGATCAACCAATATAGGATGAGCATGTATGCAGCGGAAGTCTGATAAACGAACTGACTCACATAGACTGACCTACATGGCATCACTCCACACACATACAATCATGAGATGGTGGGGTCTGGGTCATTCATAGACGATACCCAGATCCCGTACACACATACACAGATGAAAGGTGGGAGGAGAGACGAAGGAGGTAGGAGGTAGATCACACCGATAGGTCACAAAGATAGAGTCTGGTAGGTCTCCGAAACGGTAGTCCAGAATGTCATATAACAAGATCAAAATGTCGAGGACCAAAGGTCACCAATGTCGGAGATAACAGAGTCCAGATGTAACCGGTGTCCAACTGTGGTGCAGCCGAGTATCAACCTCAACAATCTCCAAGTCTCCAATCAGGTAAGTACCAGTCTCGTATCACCGAAATCCAGCTCTGATCTCTGTCCAACTGGATAGTCTCCAATCTGAAGAAGAAGAAGAAGAAGAAGAAGAAGAAGGAGGAAGAGGAGAGAGAGAGAGAGGGGACTGGCGAGGGAGAGGAGGAGAGACCCTCCAAGCTCCCGATACCTCAGGCGGTAATAACCGCCATGCAAGCTCAGTCGCCCGCTGCTGCTCCGCTTGCTGCTGCGCTATGCTGCGCTCCTGCTTCAGCCCCTGCGCTAAGTTTAGCGCATCAAACAGTGCACTAGCACTGACCATGCCGTGCCGGTAGAGTTCCGGTAGGCCGATCCCACTACTGAGGCGGATACCAGTACTTATACCGGTGGGCAATGGTCTGGCCTCAATGCTGCGAGGCCCCTGAACCGTCCAGATGGACGGTTCAGCCTCAATCGGCGGGCGGCAGCTTCCAGAGCGCGGCCAGGCCCAAACGAAGTGTGTGATAGTCCAAAATCAGGCCTTTAGGGCCTGTAAGCCCCAAAGGTCGGGCCTTTAGGCCCTGATGTGTCCCTCTGGCCCTAAGTCGGGTCCGGTAGGACCCGTGTGAGTCGAAGATGTAACATGCAATCTGCTACATGTGTGTGTCCTTTTTGCCTTTTTTTTATTTGCTTTTTATGGTTTTGATTTTTTTTTAAATACACGAAGTTCTAAAAAAAAAATGAAAAGAATAAATTGTTGTGCATCTTTGAAAGATCTACAACCCCACATTTTTTATTTGTTTTTCTGTTTTTGTTTTAGCCCTTAAAAAATTTGTGTGAAACCCAAAAAAAAAACACTCGTTTCATTTTAGTTTTTGTTTTTTTATTCTGTGTTTATGTTTTTTATTTTTCAAAAATATATATAGACATCAAAAAATAAAAATAAAAATATAGGGTTGTAGTACTCGAAAAAACCTACAACCCCATATATAAATCGTCACAAACAGAACTGCCCGGTAAACCATAGGCAGAGAGAGAGAAGAGGACAACAAACGAGGGGCTGTGACAAACTGTTTCGTCGGATTATATATATATATATCGTCAAATAGAACTGCCCGGTAAACCGTAGGCAGAGAGGGAGAAGAGGACAACAAACGAGGGGCTGTGACAAACTGTTTCGTCGGAGTTTCACCGACTCATCAGGAGGCTGAATATATCGTCAAATAGAACTGCCCGGTGAACCGTAGGCAGAGAGGGAGAAGAGGACAACAAACGAGGGGCTGTGACAAACTGTTTCGTCGGAGTTTCACCGACTCATATATTTTTTTGGATAATTTTTAGCCCAAGAAAAAAATCATCGTGGACCCCGTTAATTTGCGTCCAACGCGCGTTTGAACGGGAGCTTAGCGCAAATTCAACGCGCGTTGAATTTTTCAACGCGGAACCCGCGTTGAATTCAAAATCGGACACACAGCTCATATGTTCAGGGACAACCCATATTATTGAATTGTATCACATATATGTTCAGGGATGACCTACCATCATCAATAATATCACATCCATAGAGATACCTCACATAGCGCCCCCCCCCCCCCCCCCCCCCAACACGCACACATAAGCATTAAGATGACATGAACTTATGAGGGTCACTCTCACGCATTAGATAGCACCCACCCACGCACCCCCCCTCTCCTTCCCTGCCCACCACCATCATACACACATATGATCTCCAAACAGTACCAAAGTGTGATACGAGAATTGAGTTCACTGAACTTCATTCCAAAAGAGCATTGAGCACAAATTTACGCTCTCTCCCTCTCTCTCTCTCTCTCTCTTGCACATTTTGAAACACAAGCCCTCAAATCCAAGAGTGATTTCAAAAGATCCATCCTTGCTGGATGGCTCCGCAATAATGATGCGGCTTTATTGACCAAGCCCAAACCAGAATAACCGCTATATGTGAACTGTTTCGCCCAGTCTCATCAACACTTGCTCTACATTCGTATACCATAGCCCAACCGCCTACTTCCTTAAAAGAAAAGCTTCCGAAGGAATCAACGCGGTACTTCTAGTATAGACCAAAAGTCCAACTGGAGCCTTCCCCCTGGCCCGTAT